CCACACACACACACACACAAAGAGAGAGAGAGAGAGAGAGAGATCTGAACTTACCTGTCTAGCAATGGACATTTTGTTGAACGTGTTCCACAGTAGAATGCCCACAACAACCTTGCTTTTGTTCAGATAAAACACAATGCCTTTGCCGTAGTCCTCAGAGTCCAGAGGAGAAGATGGTGGTGGAGTGCGTAGAGGGGCGGGTGATGCCGTCTAGGGAAGGAGAGACAGTTACAAAATAAATCTTCAAAAACTGTCAAAAGATGAAGTCAATTTATTATTACATTACAATTAATATGATCAAATTTAGCCAAACCAGCCTGCACTGAGAGGCAGCAATAGAAAATTCTTACACTGGTGGTATTAGAAGCATTTATAAGATCGGACTTGATTTTCTATGTCTTGTCAATACAACTTGTGATAATTTTTCCAGGAGACTTTAGTCTGTTCAGTCTGCCTACTTTACTTAGTCTCATTGATGCAGCCATGATGGCCTGTAAAGAAGACCAGACAAAGATCGTGGGGTGCATAAATATCTTGCTGAATTTGTTAGAAGTAAAATATAATAAATTTTGCTAATAGTATTAGCTGGCATGTGATTTTTTTTTTAATAAAGAGGAGGTCACCATGTTAAGAATACAACAAGCATAAAAGACCTGCTATTTACAAATTCTGTTCATTCCAAGATTTGATCCATCAGATATTTTCAGTGTTAGGCTGGAGCCTACATAATCCAAACTGGAGGTCTGACAAAGCCATATGATTTACAACAATAATGACACACACATGGAGGAAATCGAGCCATATGACTGAGATATACCAGTAAGACAAAAGTTGACTCACATTTTCAGTTTCAGATCTCAGACTCTCCCCAGTTTTTTCTACCACAGCCTTCGGAGTATCCTGTTCCGTGCTCTTGGCAAACACAGCCACTGTAGGCAAGGACGAGTCCACGATGCCGATCGCTTCATAGCCAACCTCTGGACCAAGATCTGACCTGGAGTTGGATAATATAACAACACGATGACTGTCAAAACCATGCATAAACCCCACACTTTTCTTCCAAATGAAACAAAAGTACTCTATTTGTATGCACAAAAATTCCGTCTTGGTAAATTTCTAACACATTTGAATAAATTGTAAAACAGGGAACAGGATTCAACTTGAAGCCATATTATACTGATGCCGTTTAGAATGAATAAAAGTGATTAAACTAAAACAGCAAGCAGAATGAACATAGTCAAGAAAGCAAAATTGCAACCATACCTTTGAAAAAAGTATAACGAAAGTTAAATCCCCAGCATTATTCAGCAGAACCCAAAAATAGACACATCATAATCTTGCTTGCACTATCCAAGAAGTCCACATGATCAAAACATGTGACTAGCAGCCTCACAACAAAACTGTCTTTATAAAAAGCAAGGTTTATCCTTCAATTTTTTGCCATAGAACCAAAAGGGACAAAATCATATTGACCACAAGCTCCACACACTGACCAGAACATGCTCTGGTGCCAGTAAGGCTTGGCGGCCCCCGTCATGTTCTCCCCTGCCAGTCTCCCGCTGACCACAGCATGGTCATGGTGCTCCACGCGACGACGGCCAAGCTTCATGTCGTAAAAGCACGCAGCGTCTCCGGCCTGGGAAGTGTAAACATTTCACAACATTATGCTCCGATATGAAATCCTCTAAATCCAAACGCTCTCACTATTTCTGTACCTTCTTTACTTCTCTATTTACACCGTAAGTTGACAATTGTGGTACTGGGTACATGGAAACAGAGAAGTTCGCTTAAAATCTGCAAGACTGCCTGATTTTCTTCGGCTTAGGTTGGGATCTTGGGGCATTTAGCTTTCTTTTTGCTGCCTCTAGAATCACCACTGATGACTATAATCACAACTGAATGGTCATAATTTGGAAGTTGGGAGGGAGGGGGAGGGGGGGGGTGGCTTTGATGCAAAAACCAATCAGGGTCTTCAACAGGGCCACTTGACAGATGAATAATACATAAAACACCAGCTTTTCCATTAATCTAAGCTTCACCAGGACAATGACTTACACCGTGTATACTACACCAACTGAACAAAGAACATTCTACGGTGACTTTACATTTATTATACACGGAAACATCATTTTCATTAATTTGAAAAAACTTTGGTAATGCAAAGCAACCTTATTTATATCTCTTGCTGCGAGAAACAAAGTTTAAAAAGATCTTACCACCCACAAGTCCCTTCTCGCTTCCAGCTCGGCGTTGACTAGGTACCCTCCGTTCACCGGATCCACTTCAAGTCCCGACGCCTGGGCCAGCTCAATGTTAGGCTCCAGACCCACAGCAGCGACAACGCCGTCCACACACACCTGGATATTGCGCAATAGTCCTTTTAGCATGATCATAAAATTAATGCCGTACAACAAAAAATAAAGGCAGAATTCAAAGGTGATCCATTTCAAAGGTCTGTGGCTTAGTGATCGGGTGCTTCGATTCCTGAGTGACTAGAATTTTCATTGAGTATCTCGTTCTTTCTTCTAGGAAGCTGTACCCCTCTCAGCCTGGGTTGACCCTGACAGGCAGGGCTGAACGTCCACTTCCTGGATGATCTCAATTCTTTTGATGGGGGCATAAAAAGATATATATTAAAAAATGAATAAAAATAATTAAATACAATTAAGGGGTCTATAAAGTCCGTAGTCTTGATACAGATTGACCACGGAAACAAGTCAGCACTAGTTTACTAGATACAGATTATATCCATGGGATTTTTATCAAACATAAAAAGAAAATACATTACCAAAAAGGCATAGAAAGTGTAAAAAACAGTGATGAATTACGTTTATCACACATCAAGCTTTAAAAAAAGACTGTACAAATGAAAACTACCTCAAAGAACAATAAACGAGTCAGTGAAAAGACTTACAAAAAACTGATAATGAGGGAAATAAAGCTACTTACAGACCCGCCTTCCTTCGTAGCAATGACAACTTTTCCATCTTTGAAAGAAGCGCCAGAGACAGTGTGATTGGGGAGTACAGTCACGCCCTCTTCAAATGAAAACAAAATCAGATTTTGGGATATAAAATACAAGCTATATATAAAGCAATTGTGAAAATACTTATTTATGCATTTTCACTACTATAATGGCATACTTTTACAAACTAGTTAAGAAAAGTACATTTAGCGAGTCAGCTTTAGAAATAATTATCCTAAAATATAAATATTCACTGGTTTTGAGAAAAGACTCTATGCTATGTAATTTGTTTATCATTCTATTCATGTCTTGCACAAACTTGGTTCTGAAATGAGTGGAGTAGAAAAGAAGGTAACAACTGTCAACAGCTACCACAGAAATGATAACCAACAAAAACAGTCTATGGCCCAATCAGTAGCTTCATTTGTCAAAGCTAGTCTGAGGGCAAATGCCTTGAAACTAGAAATGTCTTGGGAAGTGAACAGGCTAACGTTAGGGTCAGACGTACCATTTTCCACCTTTCTTGTTGTCCACTTGCTCAGATACTCAGGTAAAACACGACCCATGTTGCCTGGAAGAGAAAAACCATAATTATATCTCAGAATTATTCAACACTCCGTCACATCAGAACTATTTTGTCCAAAGTGTACTTAAGTGAAGAGGCACTTTGGACAAAATAGTTCTGAGGCGACCACTTACTTATAAAGCATTAACAATATGTGAGATTTTAAAAACAAGGACAATTCATTTCTCTAAATCACAAAAAAGGCGTTTGGTTCTAAAATGCTAAAATTGGACCACTCAAAAGCACAATAAAGAGGCGCCTCTTTCGTGACATGTTTCTAGGTGCCAGAGATCAAGAAAGAAGAACAGGTCTGACAAACCATACAACCAGTGACAGATGTGCATCATTTCAAGATCAAAGGAAAGTAATCTAGAGTCAAAGCTCTGAAATTTGTATTGCCAAAAACTTTTTTACACTGCTTTGGCTGAAAGCATCCCAACACTGCTAAAAAAAAAAAAGCCCCCTCCCCCAGAAACTAAACTATAAACAACATTACAACACACTACTGTGCTAAAATATGAATTGACAGGAAGCCTGTCAACTAATTCTGAGGAAGAGAAAATAGCTTACCTTTTTCTGGGAAGAGCTGATAAACTCTTAGTCCAGTGTCTTTGCCTGAAAAAAAGAAAAAAAAAAAAATCATTTTAAGTACAGAAACAATTTCTAATTTCCATCCATTTTATGCTAAATTGGTAAAGATATTACTGTTCTTTCAGTACTGTTTCAGTTCCAGATTGCCACCATTTCACAACTATATATAGAACAAGTTTAACTTAAAACTTTAAGAGATGTGATACTGATGACATAAACTGAACAAATGCAAACATAACTTTTGTTACGCTCACAAAGACAAATTACAGCTCATGACCAAATGAACAGGAAGCATTTTAAACGCTCTGAAGCTTGAGAATTAGAAACATGAGAAGTGTTTTCAGCTTGGACAGAATTTTATCTATTCGTGATCATCATGTCATTTCTTTTTCCTCTGCCACAAATTTTTATCCGGAGCAAATTAAAGGGAAAAACATTTTCAAAATCTCTTACTATACAAACAAAATCAAGAACATCGAAAAGAAATGGAGGTTTATGCAATGAAGAACACACCTCTTTTCCCCAGAGCACAGGCCAGTTCACTGCCCAGGAAGCCACCACCGACAATGGCGATAGATTCTGAAGCCTGGGTCATTCTATCAAGACTTTTGAAATCTTCAACCTGGGGACAAAAAGTAACAGCCCTGTCAGTGACCCTTCACAGGAGACACATTATGATGACAAGGATTTATCTACAGGCGTTGAGGATTATATTTGCCTAGATAGTTGTTGCATAAGAACCTTCTACCTACTTCTTATTGATGTGCGGGGGGTTGGCGTGTGCTCTGTTGTGGTTAGCTCATTCTTTCCTATCAAACATTCATCTGCCTTAAAACTATTACCGATGGCATCATGCAGAAGAGTTAACGCTCAAATGCTACTGGATAGCTAACATCATCTGCCTGATCTCTCCTCCTCCCATCCTTTGTATAGTACTCTATTGTAGCAACACTTCTAATCTTTGGCACTTATATGACTGATTCGTGTTGCAAGTGTTGTAAAACTCTTATTAAAAGTAAACTAAAACTCTTATTGCTGTGTATAACTTATTCAAATGAAAAGATACACCTTTTCTTTTACTTTTCTCATTAAAAAAGTGCTAAACAAAGGAAAACAAGTTACTTTTTCATTAGACTGCAAAAGTTTAAAGTCAACAAAAAACAACAACCAGCTCTCTTACATTTCTGAAAAGAACAGTCCTCTTTTGAACTTCTGGGTCAGCCTTTGCTAGGACTGGAATGTTTCGGGGTTTACCACCTGAAAAGAAAAATTGAACAGTGTAAAGGGGCTATTTCCCTAAAATCTTAAAACTTGAAAAGACTTTTAACAACAATCAGAAATCTGGACTAGACAATATTATGTGACACCCCGGCAGGAATCTGCCAATATCCTCAAACCACCTTCTAACAGGCATTGCCAACCGGTAGTTTTTCATTTGCCGCTTGATTTCCCATAACAAAGAGTCTGTAAAGAATTGAAGTACATAACATGTCAGAGAAGGGAGCATCACAAACACAACCTCACAACCCAGTACATAACATGTCACTTCAAACATTGTTGTCATTGGAATTCACCTGCACATGATGGGAACATTTCTGTCCCCGTGGTTTTATGCACCCCGCATAATTTCACAAAATTTGATTTTTTGTGTGCTTAATTTCTGATTATTTCCCTTTATCATTCTTCGTTAAAATTAACAGAATAGCATAATTTCACATTTTTGGGCTCAGTTTGCATAATTTCAGAATTTTTCTAGCATAAAACAACTCGGATAGACATTTGAGAGTAAAAGCCAGATCCCATGCAGGACCAGCAAGTTTTCTCGCACATTGACTTTTTCTACCAACTTGTATTTTTTCCATTTTCCAAACCATCAGACAAATCCTCATCAACGACTTTGTTATATGAGTATCTAATAAAAGAACTCAAGAAATATGGAAGTAAAAAAAATAAATTTTAAAAATAAAATCCAATGACTGAGAGTATTTGTTTAGCCAGAATGTTGACATCTAAATCTTCCACAAAAGAGAGTAGCGAAAAATTCTTCAGTAAATGCAAAATGACTCTCCTTGGTGTTCATGACAGAAAGAAAAGTATCAAGGACACCGTCTCGGCTTAGAAATTTCTGGCTGTATAAATAGAATGAAGAAGTGACATCATTAAAAAGCCACGGGGGGGGGGGTGGTGGTAATTGGTCTTACACAAAACTAACAATTTTGAACAGTTCACATTTATTTCTAAAATTCGGATTCACAAGGCCTATGCCGTTACCGGTTGCGATCAAGCACTTGTCGTAGGTGAGTGTTTCTCCGCTGGCTAACCAGACCTTCTTCTTTGAAGCATCGACCTTCACAACCTGGAAATAAAGTGTAAATCATTTATAAATAATTTATTAGAATTGTAGAGATAGCAAAACAGAAAAAAGACCACATATTCAAATCAAATGCAAACGTAATATTATAGCTAAGCTCATGCTCAAGTTGAGAGCGCAAGAATTTCACGAAGTGATGCCGAGTTAAAGGGAAATGAAACAAGCTCAGTCTTCAGCAGCATTTAAAACAGTTTAACGCAAGAAAAAGGAGACACTTTCTCCTACTATTGATAAAATGATTTTTGTATTTTTGATTTTTTGTCTCACTACCTGGATAGATAGAGTCAGGGAAACATTAACCACCCACAGCATCCCCCTGACCCAAGCTCTCCGGCTTGCGACAGAGAGATGTCTCTTTCTTCCCGCGACACCGAAAAGGGTATAAGTGGCGGATAAAAGTAAAGTAAAGCAGTCTCACTTTCTTAGGCTTGAAACATATTTCGCAGTTCTAAAATCGACTGTATCTAGTATTTGTCAACTCAATATTTTTTTTTAAGGATTTGATAAAAAACGCAGAACAAGAAAAAAAAAAGAAGATTTTCAGTCAGGCTAACCTTTCTCCCTGTCAACAGCGCAATGCCTCCCTTCTCTAACGTATTGAGTGTTCTGGGGTCAGCGAAAAATTCCTTTGGCTCATAGAATATACTGAAAGTAAAAAATCAAATCAAATCAAACAAGAGCACACATTTTCAAATAATGCAATCCCATGGAGAAGGGAGAGAGAGAGAAAGGGGGGGGGGGAGAGAGGGATGATTAGAGAGAGATAGAGAGAGAGAGAAAGAGAGAGGGGGAGAGAGAGACAGAGACAGAGAGAGAGAGAGAAGGACGGAGGGAGAGAGGGAGGGAGTGAGGGGGAGGGAAGGGAGAAAGATACAGACAGCTGGACAGACAGACAGACAGACAGACAGACATAGGGATGTATGCAATGATACCTTTCCAGCTGTTGCACAAACAGCACAATACATCATAAATAAAAGTGGCCTCTGTGTATCCAGCATGCATTAATTAACTATTATCAGCCAGAATTAATTTCATGGATTTTCCTGTACAGCTAGGATTAAGTCTGCACTGGTACTCAGAACTCGCATACACATTCAAATATCACTGACAGTTTTGTCCCCCCGGGGCAGTGCCACTGACTGTAGTGTCTTTAGGCCATTCCCAAAGGGGGGACATTTCTTGTTCAAGCACAGTAGAATTGTAAATGGGCTGACTCATGTCATGCTCATAACTGTGCCTGATCTCAACAGGGAACTGCTGCTTTTTCTTTCCTGATCCTTACTATTGTCATTTTCCTCTACTTCTTTTGTATGTTTGTCACTCTCTTGTGACCTGCTAATTCCGGGGTACCTTGATAGTCGAAGCAGACTTTGTGTTGTTGAGGCTACAGAGGTGAGCAGTAAAAGTCTGATTCCCTGTAAGGACTTCTCTGTTGACACCCACCCCTTGGCGCTCATATGACCTTATGCAGTTGCAAGCGCCGTAAAACCCTCTACTATAAAAAAAATGACACTTTTAAATCGAGATCTATCTCATTTACATGCCAAAATTTAACAACCAGCGACATCAGGGAGCTTGAATTCAGAAAAGGCAGGTATGTTGTGGGTGGGGGGTGGGTTTGATTAACAATCTTGATTTGGAAAGTGAATTGCATTTTATATCCAAAATTGTTGATGACACATCATGCAGCCACGAAAAAAAACATACACCTTCAAGGTTCAAATTCTCATAAAGAAATGAAAAATCTTCATGTCTGTTTGTAACTTTACCAATATCAAAAACATGGATTTGGAGAATTGGATGGAAATCTGTACTTAATTAGAGGAGGTAAATGGAAGTGACATGCTGTGTGTCATTTTTGTGGACAGAGGTAAATGAAAATGACATGGAGCGGGTCGTTACAGCCAATAGGAGTCAAGAACAAAATATTGATTAATTATGGTTAAACATATCTTTACCTCCTCTTTTTTCCATTCCACTGTTTGAACTGCAGGCTGTCAACTTCTTCCTTGTTGTCATTGAACCACAGTTCTTTTGACAGAGGGGGCCTCATGTATGGCACAACACTTTCCTCACCAATTACCAAAATCTGTGATGGTAAACCAAAAAAAAAAAAAAAAAAGTCTGAACACAAGAACTAAGGATAATCATTTTTATATTTTGACACCATCAAAGTGAACTCTTGCTTGAAAAAGAAATGTCTAACCTCATACTCTAAATCAAAATATTAATCTTTTTGTCCATTAAACATTTTTAAAAATTCTGAGCAAAGCGTAACTGTCATCATTGACAACATGTCATATAACAATGACAATAACAACAATAATAATAGGTCTAATAATAATAATAACACTAATAAAGCCAACAACACGATCAGTCACCTTTGCAGTGGGGTCCTTCGACTTGATCGCTCTGAAAGCTCCGAATGTGGCAGTGCCTGCTCCAATGAGGAGGTACTGGGCATGCTGGGGCACTTCAGGGAGGTCCTTCAGGTCGGGCTCAATACCGCCAGCGGCTCCCGACTCTCCTGCGTCACCCTGCCCCTTGTCTGGCGTCGCTGCCGCATTGTTGTTGGAGTTGTCTTCTTGGACTACCACAACGACAAAGAGGATTTTTGTTTAAATAGTAAGAGTTTGTTCATGTTTTAGTAAGAGTTTTACGGCAGTTGCAATACAATAAGGTCATAGAAGTGCTGAAGTCTAGAGGTGTTACAAGAGAGTAGCGAAAAAGGAGGAGAGATCAGGACGATATAGATGTTTCATAGGAAAGAAGGAACACACCCCACCAGAGCACCCGCCAACTTAAATCCACACAAAATATGTTCTTGACTGGACAACAATGGTGTTAATAAAAAAAATTTAAAAATTTGATAAATTGGCAGAAAAAGCAAGTTTCTTCAATATCATTATTTTGATGAGTGCCTGATTTCACCACGCTGCCTCACATATCATTTTCTGTTTTCTGTAATAAACACAGGCAAAATTTCCCTATAAAAAAAGAAGACTTTATGTCCAAGAGTTG